TTTGGAGGGCATACTCATTAGTCAAGTTTCTTCGGTATGGATTGTCTTATCGTCAATTGGAGCTCCCTACATCAAGTTTAATTCTATTTGGAGATATTTATCCTTATTGATCTCTTTCATAAGTTGTTATTACAAGATTGTTATTATTGATGATAATGTTGATGTATACTTCTAAATGGAGCTAGAGAAGAACTTTGTGAACCCATTATTTAATTCATAATGAAGTTTTTGGTGGACTACAATCATGTGATTTTTACTCCTCACATCGAGGAGATTTTTCGTGTTAAAATTGGCTTGTATTTACATATGATTGATGGAGTGTTATTTCAATTGCTTTGTTACTCTGCATTATTGTTTCTATTAGATTTGTCCAATAGTAGGAAGAAAATTATTTCTTTGCATAGCTCGATATGTTTTAGGTTGTTATTGTTATTTTTTTCTCTTATCAAAGTGGTAGCGGAGCTCAGTTATTGCTTGAAGTTTTTTTTATTACCTTATGTTAAATAGTGGAAACTAATACAAGTACAATGGTTACATTGAATGGTTCGAATTATCATGTTTGGCAAGGGAAAATGGAAGATCTTTTTTATGTGACGGATTATAATTTGCTAATGCTTTCTAAGAAGAACCTCGAGAATAAAGCTGGTGTTGAATGGAATATATTTTCACCATCAAGTCCGTGGTTACATTAGGAAATGGGTGGATGATAATGTTTTGAATCAAATTAGTGGAGAAACATGTGCATGCGGTTTGTGGAATAACCTTGAGTAATTGTATGCTCAAAATACATGGAATAATAAATTATTTTTGTTAAAAAAGATGATGGCTATGAAATATCAAGATGGAACTCCTTTGACTGATCATTTAAATATTTTTCAAGGGATTATTAATTAGTTGGATGCGATGGGTATTAAGTTTGATGATGAAATACAAGGGTTATGGTTTTTTGTACTTTGTTGGACTCGTGGGAAACGTTTCGAACATCCTTGTCTAGCTCAACCCACGATGGTAAGATTTTCATAAATGTTGCTATGACTAGTGTGTTAAATGAGGAGATGAGAAAAAAGACACAAGGATCTTTTTCACACTCGATGCCTTAATTGTTGAAAAGAAAAGGGAGAAGTTACACTCGAGGTTCAAAGAATAGAGATAAAAGCGAGTGGAAAATCCAATAAATTTGCTAATGTTGAGTGTCATTATTGCCATTGTAACATCTTTGACATAGGACTTAAGTAGGTCAAAAATATTACCGATAATGCCTCACATTTAAAGTGCAATGAATGCAAGATACCAAGCCTCGTGTCCCTTACTCGTCTAAATAATTGAAATTCTTGTATAAGTTCATTTAATTTAATAATTAAGTCCATCCTTAATATAAAAAGTTAAGTTCATAAATTTTGCAAAATATTAATTCATTTAATCGAAATAGTAATTAAACTTAAAAAATTCTTTTTAACTTAATTAATAGAAATCATTTTTCAAAACATGAATAAAACTAGTAATTAATAGAAATCAATTCATTAAATTATGTGTATATATTTACCAATTTAAATCCATGTTAATTTTTTTATTAAAACCAATTTAATTACTTAAATCCTAAAACCAACTTATTAACTCATTTATTAATTCTAAGTTATAAAACCAAATTTAACTACTACTAAACACACATATTTATTTATTATTTAAAGTTTTCATAAGAATACCATTAATTTACATACCATAAGGACTAACCCTAGGACACATAGTAATGTCTAAAAACATGAAATAAAAGAAAAGTTTAGGTCTTCTAACTCAAAACTACATTTTAAGTACACACGTCGACAAATCAAGTCGCCTTCGATAATGATTTTAACCTCAAAACATGCCATCATTTATCTTTTCACTTATCTACACCATAAGAAGAAAAGGTCGGCTATGCTCGGTAAGTGTAAGTCCATGCATGAGATGCACGTGATCCATATAAAAATATTTCCTTTCATGTCTTTTTAAATTCTTTTTTTTTTTTTTCGAGTGCATCCTGCCGAATGTGTATATATTGGATCATTTTTTAAAATATGCAATTGTGAAACCACAAAAACACTAGACACATTCTTTTTTTATTTTTCATTTCCTTTTCCTTTTTCTCACAAGAGGTTGATCATTCCTCTTGTAAGGTTTTTGAATATGTTTAGCCTTTTTTTTTTTTTAATCATGCCATTTCCTTTCATTTTCATTACAACTCATGAAGAAAAATCCTTTTTCATGATCGGGGCATTAATATGCATGCAATGAAATGCATTACCTTAATCCTTTTCATGAACATTTAAACATGGATATGCATTAATTAATCAATTGCATGAATGTAATTAACAATTACATAATCATAATTCAATCAACACCAAAACTAGAGTTTGGCTGAATCATTAGGCATTAAATAACTCAAGCAATTCAAATTTCACACTATGGCTGAAATACATTACATAATAGTAGGCATTTATATTAGTCAATAAACATATAAAACATATACCAATCAACTCAATTTAGCTATGCAATCTAAAGTTCATCAACTAACACCCTAAGATTAACTAAGGCCACTTGGTGTGCCTAACATTCAATCATACAATTTACACATTTAACACTTTAATTCATATTTACACAATTCCATAAACATGATTTTATTACAATTATATGAAAGAAATTCATTCTTCCTCGAATGTGGATTCGACCAAAACATTCAATCAAAACAACCAAGTTTAATTTTTTCATTAAACACAAATATTCATATATAAACAAACCATATAAACACTAAATCAATACAATTACATAGAATTTATTCGATTAACCCTAATTTTGGTTCTTGGCCGAATTACCCAATCAACATAGTCAAGGATAAATTTCTAATTAAACACATGTAATCATGTTTATTCAACCTCATAAACAATAAAACAACATAATTATGCGAAACTAAACCAATTTTTCCAAACTTTGCACTCGGCCTATTCTTATAGCTCATAACCACCAACTTTTAATTTTCAATTAAACCTTAATTAAACTTCTAAACATGATAATTTTTCAATTAAAACCAAGATCACATCGGATAAACCATCAATTCTAATATGATCAATAGGATCCACTTAACTAAAGCAATTAACAACAAACCTAATAATTCTAAATCATCCATCATCAATCACTTAACCTAAAAAACATGAAATTCTTATGATGTAATTGGGACTACACTTACCTTGATTGATGCTAGGTTAAATTCTACCTTGAAAGCTTGCTAAATCTCCTTCCTTTTCTTCCTTGAAAGATTTGACCAACAACCAAGTTTTCCCTCCTCCTTTATTTGGCCACACCAAATGTTTCTAAGATGATTTTATGGTTTGTTCTTGATTAATATTGTGTGTTTAGGTGGTTAATCTAGCCTAAGTTACCTTGAATTTGCTAGCCTTGTTTTTCTTAGTTTTTCTTCCTTTCATCTTCTTCTCCTTTACCTAATTATATAAGGAAATTAGCTTAGGGTTTTGCCAAGTGTTCTTACACTTGGATTACTAATTTTCATTCCTTCCTTTGGTTATTTCTCTTGAAAATTCTCTCGTTTCTCTTGTATTTTCTTGTTTTTCTTCTTATTTTTCTTTCATATGGCCGAATTATCTAGCCTCTCTTAATCCATTTGTTCTTGCAATTCTGGTATGGTTAATCATCCTAATCTACCCAATTATTAGGTCCTTTAAGTTTTTAAACTTTTACATTTTTATCACTTAAGTTTATTAATTAATTCAATTTGGTCCTTATATTTTGGTCCCTAAAATTTTAATACCACAATTGTATTCTTAATATAGGCTTTCTTAAGTTTTATAATGATCACTCAACTTTACTAATTAATTCAATTAAGCATCTAGACTTTTAATTATTTTAATTAAATCCCTCGGTTATTACAATTAAGTCCCTTGGTCACCCATATATTTATAGTATTTAATAATTTAAACTTACCAAATTAAATAATTAATAATTCACTCACATCACACAATATTCATGCATGCATAACATAATTTTTCATGCAAACATAAATAAACATAAATAAATATTCACGAGACTAAAAATAAATTTATTCACACATATATAAATATGTTTAAGGGTTTTTAGGTCATGTATATTGTAGCCATAAAAAAAGAGACATATCAAGAACTATTATAGTTAGTTGAAGAGAGATAACAAGAAAGAGAAAGGAAAAGAGAAGAAAAGTGAAAAAGATATCAACGACAATCATGTTGCTAAACTGCGAGAAGATTTTCTCATTGTTTTTTTTATGGCAATGCTGTAAATCTTGTATGTCATGAGAATAGTTGGGTGATTTATATTCATGCAATATCTCTAAGGGATTTCTTTACAACTTACAAATCTAGTGACTTTGGATTTGTAAAGATTGGTAACAATGGACCGGCTGAAGTTCTAAGCATTGGAGATGTGTGTTTAAAGACCAGCAATGACACGATGTTAGTTTTGAATAATGTCAAACATATAGGTGATATTTGTTTGAATTTAATCTCTTTAGGTAAGCTTGATGATGAAGGGTATTGCAATAATGGCCAGTGGAAGCTCAATAAAGGTTTTATGGTTATGTCTAGAGGCAAGAAAATGGTTGTCTAGAGGCAAGAAATATTTTTCGTTGTATGTTTTGCAAGCCAAGTTTTTCGTAGATGTCGTAACCCAAAAATTTCTTATATGTTTTGTTAGTTTACATGTTCCTTACATTTTTATTTCATTTTATCTCATTTTACCTCATTTTAGAATTTATTACAAAATTACCAAAAAAACGAAAAAAGAATAATATATATGCACAAAATTCAAAATACAAAAAAATACAAAAAATATAAATGACTTACTCCTCTCAACCCTAGAAACCTCCTGTACAAGCAACATTTTCCATTCACTTGAGGGGGACACAAAAAAAGAGAGCCCCAAAAGGAGGCCGGGAGCCTCCATAATCCTCCTCCCTAATCTCACCCTAAAAAATTTAGTCAGGAGAAAATGTAGTCTCTGCAAAAATAAAAGCTTGGGGGAGCCATCTCCACAGCCACCTCCATAACTGCACCCACACAAAACCTCCCACTAACATCATCCCTACCAAACTCCCCCTCTATTACCGAGTCTCCCATTGACAACCACAGACCTGGCCTCAATCTCTCCACAAATTCACCTTGCTAAACTCTGCAAGCACATCTCAGAGACCCACCACTCTTTCTCGCAAAATAGCAACCACCCTGTTCATCCTTCACACCAAAAACCCACAACTAACTCTACCCATCTCCTCCGCTATCCGAAATCTCCACCTTTCACAGACAAAATCACAAACACTTAGGGGGCATCTCCCTAAACCACCATCTTTTATCACCCTCTTCTCTTCATAACCTTCCAACATCAACACTCCAACCAAAACCCACCTGCCAACTGAACCAGTCACTATCGTTGTGACCATCAAATCCAAGCACCCCACCAGACCCAGTGAACCTTTCATTCGCTAGATGAAAGCTCAAGCGTCTTTTCTTTTGCTTAATCTCAGCTTCGAATAACTTCTTAGGGAAAAAGGCAAGGAGCACAGAGTCCATTTTATGCATGAGGCAATTAGCTTCTCTTCTCCAGTTGATTGTAATTGTCGTAGTCATCACTGGCGTTGTAGAAAACCAAACTGACCTTGATGATCCTGTTCGCATCAGTAGTTCATGCTATGGGTGAAGTCGCCATTCCAAACTCTAGTACTCTAGTTTAGAGGAAATCTCAGGGGAAGGGTGAGAAAAGCCTCCATAAAACTTCTACCATTGGACCCAATCTCCCTCACCACGACCGCCTTTATCACCACCAAACAACCTCATTCTCTCATAACCAAAAACTCAAGCACCTGGCATGCGTAATCCCCAAAAATCTAACCCATTCCCTTGCTTACCTCTACCACTATCATAACCCGAATCTAGCTCCTCCACTGTCCTTTCTTCCCAACCAATCACCATCAGATGCTCCATTGTCCCCTTTCCTCGACTAGTCACCATTCATCACCTATCACCCTTTTTCCCCCAAATCAGTCTCTAATACTCCCTCAACCTTTCCCACTCTAGTCATTCTCCTATTTATCTCCCTCTCTTTTCAATGAAACTCCGAAGAAACCCAAACGAAAACAAACCCAAAAGAAAAAATTGACAATCTTGTTGTTTCAGTTAATTGGTCTTTCCCGAATGAGTCAGCAACTCGGTTTGGACTTGGTGATTTGGGTTTGCTCGAACAGTTAGAGAGGAATCTAGAGGCTTTGGACACTTGTTTTGTTTGTTTTTGATTGTGTTGGCAGGTTGAAAAGTGGAATAGAGTAAGAGGAAGGAGGAGAAATCAAGCCCTCCCAACTAGTCTGAAAAACGCGAAGAAGCAGAGAATGGGGGAGAAGATATATGGTATAAAGATTTTATCCCCTTTTTTTTTTAAAAAAAAAATTTAGGTCTGGTTTAATTTGTTTAATCTGATAGAAGGATTGGGGTTTGGGTTAAAAAACAAAAAAAATGGAAAGGTTTGAGCCAAGCCCAGTCCGTAGGGGAGGTTTAGCTTGACCAAGGCTGGGCTAATTTCAGCCCAGCCCGCATAGCCTAGGCTTGGGCTGGTTCCAACCCAGCCCAACCCCAAAAAAGAAGAAAAAGAAAAAGGTAAAGGCCTAGTCCAATGGGCCCAAGGCAAACCGAAAAAAGAGCCTAATATTTTTTTTTAGTTTGTGTTTTATTTATTTATTTTGTTTTAGATAATCTGTCTTGAAGTTTACTCATACATGTTTTTTTCTTGTTTAATTTTAGATTTTAATATTCTAGTTTTCTAGAAATTTTAGTTAGTCAATTTTAATTAAGTTTTAGCTTTATAATTTTATTTTCATATTTAGGTTAGATAACTAAATGATAGATGAGTTATCAAGTCTCCTAATTTTTAGGAATTGATGACGACTCCCTATATATAAAAAAAAAATAATAATAAAAAATATGTTAAAAAAATACATTTTAATTTTGTCTTTAATTAATTTAGATAATCCAATGATAGGTGAATCGTCGAGTCTCTTAAATTTTTAGGGACTTATGATGATTTCTTTTCGAAATGTCAATAATTAATTTAGGTGATCGGAAGATAGGTAAATTGTTGAATCTCGTAAATTTTTAGGGATTGATGACGATTTTTCTTAAAATATCTATATTTTGATTAACGAGTTAATAAATCCGTGAATTATCGAGTCTCCTAAATTTTTAGGAATTGATAATAATTTCCCATTGAATGATAGGTCACTAATATTTAAATTTGCTCGTAAAGTTTGGAGTTCAAATCAAAATAATTTGTCACAAATAAAAGATTTAAGGAGATAAACTTAAGACTAAACTATACGTGGTATCTTTCTTAAGAAAGGATGCTCTTGGGTGACCATTGTCTTTCCAACACGTAACCAACTCTTTACTATAGAATCTCTACACCGGTGCTATTTTAGGTTCCTAGTTCCTCTAATACTAGATGGTGACTCCAAACTCAATAAATAACTCGTATTCCTAAAAATCCCCGCAAACGAGATGCGCATCTCTAAAAAACTTAGAAAAACTTAAAATTTTTCGAAAGTCCTGTCCGACGTCATATAGCGACGGTAGACAAGATTAATATAGTAAATGACAAGGATACAATTGAATTATCACACAAAAGGCTTAGTCATATTAATGAGAAAGGGTTAGCAAATTTTGACAAAAAAAAAAAAAAATAAAAAAGGATCCTTTCGGGAATGAAAAATGCACCATTAAAGAAGTGTATCATTGTTTGGTTGGAAAAAAAAAAAAAAAAGTTGCTTCCAAAATTTCCTCCCCTTCAAGAAAGCTAGGTATACTCATTTTAGTGCACTTTTATGTTTATGGTCCGATGAAGACAAAAACACTTAGTGGTTCTCTTTGTTTTGTTACCTTCATAGACAATCACTCAAGGAAGCTTTGGGTTTACACCTTGAAGACTAAAAACCAAGTGTTAGATGTTTTTAAGCAATTTCAGGCTTTAGTTCAGGGATAGAATGGAAATAAGTTAAAATGCATATGAACTGACAATAAAAGAGAGTACAATGGACCTTTTGATGAATGTTACAGACAACAGGGTATTTGACATCAAAGGACACCTCTTAAGACTCCTTAGTTAAATGGCTTAGCTGAGAGAATGAACAGAACACTAGTTGAAAGAGAAGATGTCTACTTTCACAAGCACAATTACCTTGGTCCTTTTGGGGTGAAGCTTTAAGTATAGTTGTACAAATGTTAATTATTCCTCCATGTGTTTCATTAGAGCGTAATGTTCCTAATAGAGTTTGGACAGGTAAATACATTTCTTATGACCATTTATGTGTCTTTGGGTGCAAGACATTTGTGCATATTCTCAAAGATAAGAGATCTAAACATGATATGAAAACACGATGATGCATATTCATTGGCTATGAGGAATATGAGTTTGGCTACAAGTGTTATGTTATGATCTAAGTGAGAAGAAACATGTAATAAGTAGAGATGCTATGTTTACGAAAAGATCAAACAACACAAGATATTGAGAAATCAAATATTAAACTACCTTAGGTTAGTGATAATCTTGTTGATTTAGACCTAGTACCTTCTACACATGTTCCTACACAGGTTAAAGAGAGCCAACATGCCTCATGATTTAAAGAGATCACATATCCCAGAAAATTTAAATGTTGATGATACGATTCATGAGCTAGAGGTTCTAATCAGAAGATACATCGGTTACAAGATACATCAGTTACGGATTTCACGATTGACAGTCAGGGGGCAATTTTCCACTAATTACTGTCATTTCTCGTGCCCTATGTTGCTTCATGTTATTCCATATTACAAGATGAGTTTTTCCTCTCATCTCTCACTCACAAAATATATGTCCTAAATTAAATAATAATACAAATTCCCTGCTGGGATAGAGTAAGAATATTTTACTTTTGGAGTCATCGCAAGAATTGCCCCTTCCTACGCTGTAGCCATTCCTAAACTTAATCCCCAAGCTTCTTCAGTCCTCTCCTCGTATCCATATGCAATGAAGTTTCATGTTCTTGCTAGTAAATCACAATAAATTGCTGCTTAATCCAGAGTAAAAGAAAGAAACAATTACAACTGCACAAAAGAAAAAGGGATGAAGAAAGTCATAAGAAGTCAGCAGAAAAGTTTGTGATAAACTGCAGTTCCATCAATGCGTTAAAATTTTCAATTAAATGAAATGAAATGAAATTTGAAATTAACAAAGGAAAGGAAACTCATCAATTCGTTGGTCTACACCCAGGAACACTAAATCTCTTTTGTTGTTTAAGGGAGAAAAACAATAATAAATTACAACCTTAGCAATTTTCCGAACATGGGATTCATGATATTACAAGAAACATCAAATTGTAATACTTTACAGGATCAATTAGTTGAATATGGAATCATATTGTGTGAAATCAGAATTCTAGCCACCAAAATTTCAAAATGCTAATGCCCTAAAAGGGAGGCTCGAGTTAAGCTTCATGCATCTTTTCATATTGTCGTCGGGGACAAAAATTGTTTGGTCCGGAAAACTGAACTGTTTAGGCACATTGCAAGTACCTGATGCTACAGTGTTGGTGTGAAAATTAAAAGTCAAACAATGACCATGGATTGGTGGGGTGTCTAAAGACTCAATTTTCCCACACAAGAAAAAAAAACCATTAAAGTTGAAGAACGATTTTGCAATGTTTTTCCACAATACTTCTAAATTAGAAATATTACCCACCAAAGTAAGAAGAGATCACCTAAACAACACTTGTAATATAACAGTGCTAGTAAACTGGTTCATTCCACGAGAACCTCTAGTTGGAACTCATCTAAAGAATAAAATTTCAAAATTCAATATATGAAAAGAACATTACCTATTTGATATGGTAAAGTTTGAAAATATTCCACCAATCAAACTAGAATTATATTCCAGTTCAATTAAAAACTGTCATATAATAAATATGTCAATGATAATAGAGAGATTACCAACCAGTGGAGAGAGATAACCATATGAAATTCCATAGCTCCCGTGACAAGAACTGGCAAAGAACCACTCAACGGTAATAATAAACTGGTGCCGAAGAAGTCCAGTAAAGAAAGCGTGGTTGGACAACCCTGGAAGGGTAGGAGTTTTCATCCGCAGCATATACTAGACGGACCCCGCATTTGATCACCTTGCAACAATGTAAAGGGTTATTGTCCATATCTTCAGGGAAGAATTTGATTGTGGCCTCATTGCAACAGTATTTACTGAACAAATTGTCTTTAGCAGCATCAAAACAAGGATCATACCCCAGGAATACATGATTCGACCCCAGAAGTCTTCTCTGCTTCTCATGATACCAACCTTCAACATAACAGAAAAGATTATGGCAATCACCATACTTATTCTTGAAATGATACTCGCATTTAACTTGGAAACCACATTCGTCCAAGTAGTCGTCAAATGTAACAACAGCACATAGAGCAAAACCCAAGAACGTGCTATCACCCAAGTGCAAAGGCAACTGGATCGCCACTGAAGATCCCCATGTTTGATGATGAAACAAGCGTGGAACTTCCTCTCCAGGGAAGTAAACAGTGGAAGTGCCTGGCGGTACAATAGAAAACTGCATGCAGAAAAACAAGATCCTACTTAACACCTACGAGTGATGACTAGGAGAGATAGAAGGGTGAAGGAGACAAACCTTATCGCTTAGACTTTTTGCATAGTAGTGGAACTTCAATAGGGCATATACCATTATGACTCTGCGTGCTTTCTTATTCAATGAGAAGCAATTAGTGAAGTGAAATCCAAATATGTTTCCTTCCAGCACAAGGGCATCTGAAGGCCTCGATATCCTTGCCAATGATACACAATTGTTGGCATCTAATTTTGTTAATTTTGGTGGAAGTTGTGGTAATGATCTAAGCCTTCCGCATTCCATCAAGAAAAGGTATTTCAACTCAGTCATTTGATTGATATTTGCAGGCAAAGTCTCAAAATCATTTCTGCTTAGATCTAATGACTCCAAAGTGCATATATTGCAGAAAAATTCTGGGATTTCTAATATATTGCAACCATTTAGATCTAGTTTTCTCAAATAGTTGGCATTGGTCAACTCAGGCAATTTCACAAGGTTTTTGAGGTTTCCTGATTCCAAACAGCGTAGCCAATCTAGCTGTCCAGAGGGTAGCTGTTTCAAGGCTGTTCCTTCTAGATAAAGATATCCCACATTAGCTGGGATTGGTGGAAGACTCTTAAGCCTCGAGCAGCCAGAGAGATCAAGGTATTCAAGAAATCTCAACCCACTGATGCTGCTTGGGAGAGTCTCAAGAGCTTTGCAGTTTCGCATATGCAACTCAACAAGTCTGGTGAGGCATTGGACTGATGAGGGAACTTCCATTATTGGACAGCCAGAGAGAATAAGTTTTTCCAGAGAAGTCAACATCCCAAAGCTAATATGAAGACTCTTAAACCTTGTACAGTTCATTAGATCCAATTCACGGAGGCTTGAGAGAGCACTGAGGGAAGAGGGAAGTTCTGGTACTGCAGTTTCACTCAGATATAAATATTTTATGCTCTTTGAAACATTTGGAAGGTTCCAGATTTTTGAGCAGCCAGATAGATCGAGAGTTGCAAGAGATTTCAACAAGCAGATGCAGTCAGGAAGCTTCTTAAGTTCTTTGCAGTCCTTTAGATTCAATGAAACAAGTCTGGTGAGATGCTGAATTGATTGGGGGAGCTCTGCTATTGTGGTCTCACTTAAATTTAAATATGTTATGGACCGTGAAAGCTCAGGACACTGTTTGAGATTAGAGCAGCCAGAAAGCTTAAGCGTCTTAAGAGAAGTCATACTAAAGCTGCTTGGAAGGCTGTGAAGGCTTTTGCAGTATCTCATATCCAATTCACTAAGTTTGTTCAGACACTGAATGGATGATGGAACCTCCTCCAAACTTCCGCAGAAATGAAGCTTCAAACTCTCAAGATTTGTGGCAAGTTGTAGGTCAGGAATTGCAATGAGATGCTCACAATTGCCAAGGTTGATCTCTTTTAAATTTACAAGGTCCTGCGAGAAAACAAAAGAAACTAAAAATCGGCACATATAAATTTAAAAATTCATTAAAGAGAGAATAAGTGAAAATTCACAGTTATCTAGGTATACCTGGACTCCTGTCCAAAGATTCACAACCTTGCTAAATGACAAGTCAAGTTGAACAAGATTCTCTGGTATGAAATTGGATGGCAAAGACCTAAGAGGATATCCATCCCAATGGAGATACCTTAACTCATCAGAAAGATACTCAAGACCGTGAGGAAGTTCCACTTTACAGTTAGTTCCAACTCCAGAATTATAAATTTTGAGCAACCTAAGATTATGCATCCTTGCAAAGGCACAAGACAAGAACTCCATTTTCCTTGTTTTAGAAATATCCAGGAATATGCCTTCAACCTTTTCAGTTCCCTAGGCAACCCAAAACAAGATAGAATAAAGCGTGAGTTAAATAAGGATTGCCATGAATGGTGGCATGAATTAATTAACACCATTGTTTTTATGGGGCCATCGTGTGGGTCCCACAAGTCTAGGGCGGTGATTAAGTAGTGTCACAATTTGTGGAATGAATTTCATGCCACAAAACGTTTTCCATCAGAGAAATATATGTGGAGTTTAAAAAGTAAAGAGCTACTCAAATATGACCATAGTATACATCATAGGGGGGAGAGGGAAGGAAGGAAACAACATTAAATGGCTATGAATCTCACCAGATTTTTGGTCAACACCTTATAGACATCACTAGGATCCCATAATCTACTGCGTTTGCCAAGCTCCTTAACAGATTCTCGTCGAATGATCTCATGAGCCATTTCTAGCAGCAAATCATGCATTTCAAGTTTGCCATTTGAGACTACAATAAAGCACTTTTCAACAAGAATGCTAATTCCAATGTCAGTTGAGAAACCACAACCATCAAGTATTCCCTTAACTATATCAATACTCAGCCCTTTAAAGAAACATCCTATATCCAGAAATATACTCTTCACTCCATCATCTAGTTCATCAAAGCCTATTCTCAACACATCATGAATTTTAGGTAGAGAAATACTGTCAAGCTTATTCAACGCACTCTCCCACTCTTGCTTACTCCTGCTGAAAAGAAAGGAACCCAAGACTTTAAGGGCTAGCGGATTTCCCTTGGCATAATTTATTGCCTTGATTGATAGCTCCATATGGTCTGCTTGGGGCTGGTTTTCTTTAAAGGCATTCAAACTAAACAGATGAATAGCTTCATGGTCAATTAATCCCCCAACCTCATATATTACATCAGCTTCTCTCTTCAGCACATGCCTGTCTCTAGATGTTACAATAATTCTACTTCCTGGACCAAACATATCACGCCTTCCAATCAAAATTCTTAACTGATCCTCATCATCCACATCATCAAAAACGAGCAGAACCCTTTGATGGAGGATCCTTTCCTTAATGAAAGCCGGCAGAACACGTGGATTGCCAACATGTAAATTTTCTTCCTCTAATATTTTGGAAAGAAACTCTTGTCGCAAAAGAACTAATCCATTGCGTTTTTTTGATTCCTCCCTAACATTAGCAACAAAGTAGCAACCTTCATATTGACTTGAGATGCTGTTGAAAACAGCTTCAGCAATAGTTGTCTTACCTATACCACCCATGCCCCAGATTCCAATTATGCGAACAGCTGGTAAGTGAATGCATAATTTTGCTTTGACATCTTGAATGCGTGAATCTATTCCAACTAGACCCTCTGAATCACTTGGGGAAGTACAATTCAATTTCTTCAAAACATGTTGCACGATCCTGTTGACAAGCTCGGATTCAGGCCTGCCAATATAAAGCACTAATATTTTTACGTAAAAATGTATGACAAACAAAGTCAAGTTAATGCAAGGTTTATGTTAAATCTCTAATATATATACTGGATAACCATGAACAGAAGCAGGCCTAGCTAGATATACAATGACACCAAAGAACAGAACAACAACAATTGCACTATTTGCATGTTTGAACGTCCAATCCAAAGTTTTAAGCTAATAGGTAGAAAGACTCATGATTATGCAATGCTTCACCCAACTTAAATAATGTGACCTGTTAAAAGGGTACCTCCTCATTTTTTATGAGAAAGCAGCTCAGCGAACTCAAGCAAAACCTCCTTTAATAAAATAAGGAAACAAAGTATTATTGACTTTGTGTTCGCTTATTTTATCGAATGTTAAAATGGTTTTTTTTTTTTTTTTTTTTTTTTTTTTTTTTTTTTTTTTTTGGGGTCCTTACAAGTGAATTTCTACAACTTTTTGCAAGAAATGTGCATGCCGTGCTTCTTTTTCTTTCTTGGACAAAGAAGCTTTTATTAAGAAACATTGGGATAGGGACATGAGTCAAGGTCTCAAGTTAAAAGAATTAAATAAAGACTCTAAACATAAAGGAAATCCATAGGAATCTCTTTATTATTGCTAAATAAACAAAAAAGAAAGAAATTGCACAGCAGAAAAAGAGTTAAAAAAGGAACAATATGAATTATGAAAAACTTTACACATGTAAGGCAGTGTTAAATACAGAAAACTTGCTGTAATTTATATGGAAGCACATTTCTTACATGTGCAAAGCACACAATTTTTCCCAAGCTATGCACAACCTAGGATATATTTATGGGAATGAGTTGCTATTGATTTACCGAAACAAGGGGCCCAATACTGTGGGCAAGCTAAGAATGGAATAAATAGTTGTTTCATATGCTGCCTTGAAACCATTAAAAACACAAGTAGAAGAGAGAGTTGCTATTTACCTAATGACCTGTGAGTCCCATCCCGATATATTGGCTGCATTTGTCAATTCATCCCTCCATCTTTCCACCTTGTCCATCTTCTCCTTAAAATTACTTTCAAGTTCAGCAAATGCATTTCCAAAACTCCCTGTCTGTTCATTGACATTAGACGGGTCTACATGATAGAAAACTGGAAAAACAATCTGCCCGTATTTCTGCTTGCATTCAAGTATCTTCACCAGTTCGTCCACACACCAAGAAGAAGATGCATAATTTTTTGAGAATATTACAATTGAAATTCTTGACTCTTCAATCGTTCTCAAAAGCGCAGGTGTAATGTCTTCACCTCTTTCAAGTTCATCATCAATGAAAGTCTTGATTTGTTTATGGCGCAAAGCAACGTAAAGATGGCTAGTAAAGCTATTGCGTGTGTCCTTGCCTCTGAAACTAAGGAACACATCATGCTTCCATCGAGGAACATTGGAAGAAGAAGAAGCCATATTGAACGATTACAAGATTGAGTGTGGCAAAACCTTAAAGAGGAAGGAAAAAAGAAGAAGAAAAAGAAGCAATCTTGAGATAGAGCAGCAGCAGCAGAAACAACATTAACAAAAATAAAACACCAAAATCTAATAATCCAACAAACATATCAGGTAAGTCTTTTCAGTTCTTTTCTTTTCTTTCGTCACAACATCTAATTCTTTGCTAATGTACTGTCTGAAAATATTATTATACTATAATCCTCTCTGCTGGCTAGTTATGCTGCAATAGGTCGGGTAGTAAGAAAAAGAATCACACCCATGACTTTAGCATATTAAAAACTTGCTTTAGACCCATCAGTTTCAGGTTCACTAAAGGTGCTTAAAACTTCCCAAATAGTTTCCAAGATCCCACGAACTGTATATGAACCCTGTTAGTTAGCAAATCATCAGCATATCTTAAGCATTTTATTTGCGTTCTTTGATCACTGTACCATCAAAAACGCCAAAAACAAAAGTGTCAAATCTGTCATTACATCCGATCATTCATCCTTTTAACTAGTTGTGGATAAAACCAACTGCGAAATATGCCATCACAAATAAGCAAACTAAAGAAACGAAGCCCAACTTTAAGTTCAAGTTCAATCACTTGCATAGATCAAGTTTAAACAACTTTGTTCTACATTTGCTAAGAATGTATAGCGAACAACAATCTATTTCACTACGACTAAATGTAAAAACAAGCAAGAGATTAAGTATTTAATGATTCAAAAACGAAAATATGGCATAGATTCACACAGATCATATTAGAAATGAAGGAAGAAATATTTGCATATGACAAACGATTATAATGTTCACGTTTTTTCAAGCAAGTTTGAGATCCAACTTGTTTCATGTAATAATATTACAAATCTCTACACAGAAATTGATTGTAAACCCATTCAACAAATTGCCTTTTACCTGAGCAGTATCAAATGCCTCACGATAATTAAGGAAAATGATAAAAAGAAAAACGATTTTTCAGATAGAAACAATCAAATGAAAACAAACCCAGCTCAAATATCAATCAGAAGAGCACGAAAACCATAAACCCATTAACAAATTCTCAGATAAATAAATGAAGCTAACGAAAAGTGGTTCGTTGACTTACAGTGTGAAGACATTCAAAGGCAGCAGCTTTTTGTTTTCATCCGCCACAAACGAACTGAAAAATATGCGTTACAGACTAGCAACTCATTTTGAGAAACAAATTAAATAGCAACAGGCAACAGCCAAAGTCAACTAATCGATACGTCGATGCCTATGTGGTTTATTAACACGTTAATAGAGTTGTATAAAGATTAAACAAATGGGGTAGCAATTTCCTATTTAATTATTTATTTAAAAGTACTGTTGACTTTCTTTGCCACCATTGAGTGACAAGATAGGGTTTGATTTTTATCACTTTCCATGTTGTTTCGTTGAATTAGCAGCTTTTTATAACCAAGAAAGAGTAATTGATCAGTACTTGGGAGTTCAGACAAGTGCAAGAATCAGTAAAATCAACTGAACATGTTTCGGCAAATATACTTGAACATAAAACAGTCAAATTATGTTTTCCAATTTCTCTAAAATCCGCAACTAGCTAACTGCATATATCATAATTCTATAATTAAAAAAGGAAACAGATGGTAATGGCACCGCAATCTTCGAAATTGAATCAAAATTACTTCCAACAAGACAGATGAAGCAGCACCAGAAATAATAGAAATCAACCCTCCTTCTTCCCTGATATAATGTTGCTTCTCGCAATACATCAACGATCCATCACGGTTTAAGAAGCAAGAAGCAAAATAATTGATAACAATTATCCAATTTTTCATTTAAACAAATATCATCTACAACATTGAGCAGATCTACGTCCAAAAATACAACAGCATCAACATAAAATGCTCCACATTATTTATGCAATGCTACTTTTTTTAAAAAAATTATTATTTCTGTTATGACAAATAACGAAAATAAGATGATGTGACCCAATTTCTAGAAGAAAAACTTAGGAAGAAATCGAATGAATTGTCCTTTATTTCAATGAATGCAAGAATTTAATACAATGATTTGAAATACAAGTTTGCTAAAAACGTAAGAATTATTTCACAGAAGGAAGATTAGAGAAGAAAACAAAGAAGACAATTTTAACCAAATGATCCAAGACTCACTCCATTCTCTGCAATCTTTCTCTATATACTCAGATACTACTAACCTCTAACAGTTTCATAACCACTCGTAACAACTTCTAATATGTTATAACCAACTCCTTACCACTACCATTGAGTTAGTTAATCCTCATTGCCAACCTATTCTCTTGCCACCCTGTCATACAGTCACTTCAGCCTACCCACGTGAATCCCTTTACCAATCTGCCATGCAGTCATCTCAGCTTGGCCACTTGAATCTTCATTTCTCTCCCCCATATTCTGCTGAACTTCCATTGATCCTTGCAATGTAACAATACTTCCCCGTTGAAAAACTTTGTCCTCAAGGTTAAAGTCTAGAAATTTGGCCTGCAAATATTTCTGCTAGAAGCTCACTCAAGCCAAAGCCTCCAAGATCAAAGCTAACATGAAAGGCACAATACCTTTTGAGATTTGGCATTGCAGGGAGAGAGTGCTCAAGATTCTTCAAGCATGCATTATCTATCAGAACTTCATCAAAACTCAAGTTGCGTCGTAGTAGAATGTCCCAACAGAAACACCTTTAGCACCCATTCCCCTTTTGTAGGACCTTGCGTTCTAACCCTCAAATGGCTTAGAAGATTTTGAATCCAAGGAAATTATTTAATCGCTGGTTACCTATCATTCAGTAGATCGGCTTGAACACATCTAACTTCTTCAACTTTAGACTCCTTATTCTTCAAGATTGAAGGCTGCTTCAAGAGTCCAAGATTATGTTGAAGTCTTTCTTAAATGCTATGAATTAACTCCTTCATTGTTGTCTTCTTAAGGAAATCCGATTCTTTGGCCTCTCCTATCAATGACTCCTTACTTTCTTTTGTTTTTCCATTTTTCACATAGAAAAGGATTGCTTCACCAACATCATTAGTTAAAATGATTTGGCTCCAAAATGGCTTCTTGCAGCTGATTTCTCCATAATATTCACCAATACACCAAAACCAAAGATTATGAACATAGCTTCTTTGGTTCAACTCAGAAATGATGAGATACTTAACTAGGGTTTCTGCCATTGATAAAAATTCATGTAATTGCTATAATTGACACCAAAATTCGACACTTCATTAGTGCCAAGAATTGCTCCGTTACCACTTGATGCGACTCAATTTCCAGAAAAAGACTTAGGTAGAAATTGAATGAATTGTATTTTATTTCAATGAACACAAGAATTCAATACAATGATTTGAAATATAAGTTTACTAAAAACATAAGAATTGTTTATAGAAGGAAGATTAGAGAAAAAAATAGATAAGACAATTTTAACCAAATTAATGATCCAAGACTCACTCCATTCTCTGTAATCTTTCTCTATATACTCAGATATTGCTAACCTCTAACAATTTCATAACTACTCTTAACAACTTTTAATCTGTTATAACCAACTCCTAACCACTGCCACTGAGTTAGTTAATCGTCCTTGCTAGCCTGTCCCCTTACCACCCTGTCATACAGCTACCTTAGCCTGGCCACGTGAATCTTTTTGCCAATTTGCCATGCAGCCATCGCAGCCTAGCCACTTGAATCTTCATTTCTCTCCTTATATTCTGTTGAACTTCCATTGATCCTTGCCCTGTAACACAAGACAAGTAATGATAGATAATAATTAAAAGATAAAACTAAATAAATTATCAAGACACGGGATTTATATGGTTCGGTAAATTACCTACTCCACAAGCGAGAGGAAAGTTTTATTAGCTTGATAATAGGAGAATACAAGAACCCTAAAGATTCAATACAAAGTCTTTATCTTTCACTCTATTTCCTAAATAAAGATATAAGGAGTTTTAAATACCTCATACCTATAAAGAAAAAAACCTAATAGGCTAAATATATTATTGGATCGTAAAATTCAAGCCATTTATGATAAATCTCCACCTTAACTTGAATTCCGCAAACCTTCAAGAATGTTAAATAATTCCTTAAAACACACCTCTAAACTTACATGGGCTAACTTAATATAAGAAACAAGAGATGCAAAGAGAGAAAATATTGATTTCAACATTAAGACTAATAAATTTCTTCTTTCCAATAAAACCTCAATATGCACGAGACAAATACTCAAGGTACACGGGCATAAGATAAGTACTTCATACGGTAGAAGCATAAAGCACGAGAGAGGGAAGAAAACTCACACGACCGTGTCTCTCTCCTTCTAATGTGGACCAAAAGGCCTTGGAATTTATGGAGCGGCACGATAGGGCATGGTGACGGGAGTTAGGATTTTTTGGCTAATTTTTGGGGTTTTTGGATCTAGTTTGATGCGAAACGAGCCAATGATAAAAACACATGAGCTTTGCCTAGATGTACGTTATCATTTTTGTAAAAAAGCATCATTTAGGCCATCTAATCGCTAATTTATTATTCTATTCGTACGAGTAACAAGTTTTTAGGATTTTTCCTATTAATTTTGAATTTTTAGTGTTTGTTTTCTTTTCATTTTTTTTAGGATTTTGACCTAAAATTTACTATTTATGTAAGACATTTAGGTTAAGAAACACCACTTTTGCTTGATTAATAAACTTTTATGAGAGAGTATCTCAATTTTTCAATTATCGATATTATTTGAATCAACAAAATTAAAGCTTATTTTTTAGTATTTATGTCCAAATCAATAGGTTATAGTAGATCGACATCTAAATATTAGATCAACAATGTTTATCATTCTTTCTTGTGAGCTTTCACTTCGTCAATTAGTATCGAGCCGGATATCGCTTTCCCGACCATACAGCTAAGGAGACAAGTAGTAGCGAGAGCGAGATGTGGATGAGCTATATGAGCACACTAATGTTGTGTGCTTGGAACAACGATTTG